GGGTACACGCCAGGTCTGCTGCTCCCGGGAGCCCTGTTTTCATGAATGACTGGGCACACTCTTCCAGTTTGCCATTCCCTCAGACCCTAAGTTTGTAGAGCTTGGGGCTGAGAATCCTCAGCGAATTTTACTTGCCCTCCGGTAGCCACGCCCCTGGTAGCTGGTGCCACGGGTCCCGCACCACCTCTAATTCCCTCGGTCTGGCTACTGCGCTCACTGGAGAGCTGGGAGGGGCCCTTAAGGTTTCCCCGATATGTGGAGAGGGAAGGCTAGGGAATTACACACCTGTAGCCGCAGGTTTCAATGAAGTTATCTCCTCTGCCGCAGTTTGATGACATTAGTTCTCTGCCATGGTGGAATCTTTGCAAATGGCGACAGTTCGTTTCCCTTTGCCGGGTGACCAATGCAACGGGTGGGTCCTTACTGTCTCTCCCAAGCCCCGTTTCAAACCTGTGGCCACTACCTATGAAGGCTCGGTTGGCATTACCTCCGTAGGATCAGAAGGGCTGACCAGTTGTTTCAGCCGGATGGATTAGTGCTGAGTCACAGATGTTTGTCTGCGGGAAGCAGGTGACCGGGAGCTTGAATTCAGCCGATCCGGGCTCAGTGTGTGTTCTGAGAGGCCCAGACTGTTCGCCCCGGATCCATGTCAGCTCAGCATTGCCTAGTGATCCTGAGCAAACAGATTTAGGCTGTTTACGACTCCCTATGCCTGCACAGCTGAAGAGGTCAGAGACTTGATCTCTCCGCGCCCGCCGCCATGTTGGAATCCCATTTGGGGAGGTTTTGAAATTCTKACAGAATCACCAGGAAAGGACTTACCAAGATATCTTCTCTAGCATAAACTTATGAAAGAAGAACATAATCTGGAAGAGTTGATCTCTCAGAATGTTTAAAAATGTACTTAACCTAAGGTCTTTGGAGTTCATTGGGGCAAAATATTGGATCTTAATTTTCACTAACTCCAACTCTAATAGCATTGGGAGAACCTGTAGCTTAATTACAGATACATATCAGATGTTTTCATCTTATATTATTGTTGTTATAAACATCTCAAAATTTATGCTCATCTCCACTTGTAAATTAGGGAGTTAYTATCCCCACTATTAAATGTTCATATTTAATTCCTTAATACATAAGCATCATTATCTTCTAAATACATATATTGATAGTTTTATTTCAAAATATGACATTTCCTTGTAGCTCTTCAAATTAGTCTTATGAATTTTAAGCCACTTTGAGAAAGCAGAAAGGTTTTACTCAGTTACCACAATGGTTCAGGGATCATGGAATAGAATGTGAAGCAGCAGCATAATTCCTGAGGACTTTCTTCGAYCTCCCCAAGCACAGTACACTTTAAGTTTGTTGCCCTCTCTACAAGATTACTCAAATACTTCCTGAACAGGTGAGAAGAGTTTTATGGATAATTCATTTTAGTTCTGATTGTGAATGATCTTTTTTTTACTTCCTTTAATGCAGGCCACACACTATTAAAGTATTTGCAAAATATTTTAGTGAGTCAGACAATAATTTGGCTGCCTAGTAAATGACACTGTAATACTTCACAGGTCAGCTTTTAGACTTCACTGAAAGGTATTCGAAGGACCTTAACAGCAGTGCAGTTTATGGGAAATAATGGAAATATAGAAATTCTGAGGTAGAATCAGAACCCACTTACATTAGCCTTTTAGCCACTCTTCCCATTGTGGTGTTAACCATGTAAGTCTATCTATAGTGAGAGGTCTTGGGCTGTAGACGATCACACCTTCACATTGACCAGCCATAGGAAATAAGATTGATATTCCTGTTCAACTTTATTAAAAACATAGCCATAAGTTACTTAGAACTGAGAGCCCCTTAGGTAATGGAAAGGAAGGGTTGAGCTCTGGTTGAGCAGATCCTCCAGGGAATTTTGCCTTGCCATTACATGTTCTGTGCTTTAGATCTCTTTGAATATTTTCTACCACCTCTCATCAAGAAGGAAAACACAAAAAGTAAAAATTCTTAAACTTGATGTTGCCATAAGTCTGGGAGAAAAAAAAAGTGTTAATTCTAACTTTCATGAGTCATACTTTATGCCTCTGTCTTATGTGGAAGGAAGTCAATTCTATGTCATTAAAACCTCTTGGATTATCTCTGCATTTGTGCCCTGTAGTTCTGCAAAATAGACACTTATGAAAAGTGCTGAAAGCTGAGCCCTAGTGCACTCATTTATGTATTTCATTTTTCTTTGCAGGTTGGTGAAAGATGCTCCTTGGGATGAAGTYCCACTTGCTCACTCCCTGGTTGGTTTTGCCACTGCTTATGACTTCTTATACAACTACCTGAGCAAGACACAACAGGAGAAGTTTCTTGAAGTGATTGCCAATGCCTCAGGATATATGTATGAAACTTCATACAGGAGAGGATGGGGATTTCAATACCTGCACAATCATCAGCCCACCAACTGCATGGCTTTGCTCACAGGAAGCCTAGTTCTGATGAATCAAGGTGTGTGTGATCACATCATGGCCAAGGTGATGCCTGACCTGACATCAGTCATTGTTGCCATGTAGTAAGCAAAGCATTTTTATAACTCTTCTTAGGTACATGTTCATACTTGTATCCTAACTAAACCTGTGAAATGAAGTAATACTCAGGGCATCTCTTAGTTAATTAAAGGATATACCTTCCTTAATTTCTGCTAGTTATATTAGCCTGTATGGTACTTAATTATGACTTGTAATCATTCCAGGCCATATTCTTACAGTATAGAGTCAGTGACAAATATTCATTTTGACAGTGAAGTTAGCCAGTCTGGAATAAATGAAGGTCTTACTTGAAATAAATATTCCTAGCACACAGATATGACTCATAACTTCACTATTCTTGTTTTTTTCTCTRAAGATTTAAAGCAACCAGACTAGATTGTTTAAGTCAAAATTAGAAAGAACTTTTGTGGATTGTTTAGCTACTCTGCATTAACATACTATATACATCCCAATGTCACATTTTCTTTGTTCTTGTAGCTAGCATAATTGTAGCTCCTTTGAAAATCTAGAAATGACTGAGATTGTATTTAGGAAAAAGAGTTCTTAAGATCCCTGTGAATTATTAGAATACTAAATATGTAATTGGACCTTGGAAATCTAAATAATTTGACTCTTATTTATATACCCCATAAGAATTACTCAGCATTTTATAGATTCTTCAACAACAGATTTTACCCAAATCTGGTTTTCTCCCTTATCAAATCAACCAAGGATTGCTTTTAAATTAAGTCTTAGGGAAAAAAATCTTCCTTTAACAACAATATCAGTACCTTGTACTAACAGAGATCTATAGTTTACAAAGTATTTTAGTGGACAATGCCTGAAGGGGATTTTTGAAAAAAACAAACCAGGAAAATCAGGTAATGTGGTATCCAAGGAGCAGTGGCCTGGTTTTAGGCATCAGTCATGTTGGTACCTCCATGGAACCGGAGATGGAGAAGGAAGACACAGAGGAAAAAAAGAAAAGAAAAGATGATGATGACTGGAATTTTAAATTCAAATGACAAAGGATGGAACTAGAAAAGTATTGAGAAGACTGCCATGTCTGGTACGGAGCTGGGTGGCAGAAGGAGTCAAGGGACATTTAGTAGTCACCCCTTTACAGCCAAGCCTGCAAGCATGCTGTCTTTGTGAGTTGGGGGCCAGGTCATAGCCTGGGGCCTGGGGTTAGGCCCAGAACTAATGGCATCTGGAGTTCTGGAAGTCCTCACACCTGACACACCTCATAGACCATGGTAAAGTCCTAGGTTTGGATCAAAGTTCTATTCATTTTGTGTCATGTGCCATAGGTTTGGAATAAGGCACCTTCTTGTAGATTTGGGGTAACAAGGCTTAACTGGGTCCTYAAAAGAATTAAGGAAGATTTTTTTCAGTGCTCTGTAAATTATAAATGCTGAAGAAATGTAAGTAGTTCTTATTTTTGTCTAAATGTAAGAATTCTTGAAAGCTAGCATTTCTGTGTCCAAAAGATTTTATAAGATGTTTTAGATTTTGAATTTTCAGTGGGGAGATTGAGAAATGTAACTGGTTAAAAAAGTAGTTGAACAAATGTAACTGATTTAAAAAGTAGTTGAACAAAGTCATGCAGCTCACTATTGGCAGACTCAGGACTCACACTTGAATTTTTTTTTTTTCACCATTAGATTTCCATTCCAAAGATTTCTCAACTCTTCAGTACTACCTTTTCAAATTCTGTGAAATCTAAAAGCACATAAGTAATGAGAGACTGTCTTCTAATGACAGGACAAATTGAAGATGGTCTACCATTTATAATGCTGTATCTTGTTACAAATTCTATAAAATAACACTGTAAGTTTTACAAAGYGGTAAACTTTAAATATATTTTCAGGCATTTTTTTTAGGAAAATTGAATAAGAGTCTCAATGTACAAATCTTATCTTACAAAGTTACATGTCATTTGTGATCTTATACACGATGTAGTTAGTTTTAGTTTACTGATRATTGGGAAATTACTTGATACTTAAGGGTTTATTTTCATTTAATTGATAAATGACTTGTGTTCAAGAACTTTTTAACTCACATCATGGACTCACTACAAACCTGGATTAACAGGGTGTTGTTTATAATGTGGATGAGAGGTTGATAATGTAATTTGTAATAATACAAACTTGTCAGATAACTCAGGTTAGTATTTGGTCATGTTTTTGTTTATGCTTTGTTACAGTCTTTTGTCATTGTTTGCATGTGTTTTCATCCTTCAGGGTACCTCCAGGAAGCCTACTTATGGACCAAACAAGTTCTGACCATCATGGAGAAATCTCTGGTCTTACTCCGGGAAGTGACAGATGGCTCCCTCTATGAAGGAGTTGCTTATGGCAGCTACACCACTAGATCACTCTTCCAGTATATGTTTCTTGTTCAGAGGCACTTTGACATCAACCACTTTGGCCATCCATGGCTCAAACAACACTTTGCATTTATGTACAGAACCATCTTGCCAGGTATAGTGAGGATTTAGAAGTGGGAAAATGTTGCACAGTTATAATTTTTTTCTGACTATGAAAATGAGCTAGGCAAAGAAAAGAAATGAGGTTTCTTATGCTGAGATTAAAGTGATTATTTGTTTAAAAAACAGAGAAAATTTTGAATTTAAAAGCTGCATATGGGTAAAGCACTTTGAGCCAACATGAGGTTTTATGATTTAGGTATTATAAAGGTTGGAGCATAATGGATCAAATATAATGTCTAGTCCCCACAGTTCTTCCATTTTTACACACACATATGTACACACACACACACATATACACACATACACACACACACACACAAACTTGAATATTCATAAACTCATTTTTACAAATCTAATAAAATATTAACATTAAGGATTAAATGTCAGTTTTTCTTTTTCTGTGATCCCTGATCAATCCCATTGTAGGTTTTAATTTCTTATCTTTTCTTCAGAACCACATAGACATAATTCAAAATGTATTATACCTACATATTGTGTTGATGATTTATTATTCTTTTTTWAAAAATAACCAGTATAGTATATAGAAAATGAAACAAAAGCAACAACTTCTATAAAATTTCCAATTTAATATTGCTGTGTAGTTTGGCCTTGTAAGACAACTGGCTCTAAAATACGTGCCTGGGTGTGCGTGCATGCACATGTGTTTTAATTATTTATTTCTAGGAGAGYTTTGTAATTCACTTTATTTGTAAAACAGAACTAAGGTATTAGAAATAGTTTAGGAGATAAATTTTCATCAAGATGGATCTCCCTGCCCCCAGAAAATACAATTTTTATTTGGTAATTCTAGACCTATAACACAAAATACAGTCTTTAAACCATTTTGCTCTGGTTGAATACAGATGGATTAGAAGCTCCTTAATTGGATTAGTTATCAAAAAACGCTGTGAACAAAATAATCATTTTAAGATTTACTTTAGACTTACATACAGAGCCTATTCTTTATTGCTTATTCTTAGACATACAGCAGAGGCTGTCTTGCAGTTCATCTTGGTAAACAAAGTCCTTCTAAAGAAAGGAGTCTCTAAGAGGTCCCAGTGCTTCTTATAATTTGAGCAGASTTCTAATAGCCAGCCATTTTAGGCTGAGTCGAAGGGCTTGAGTCTACCCTGAGCTGTGCTTGTGGCTACTTTCTAAACTGGAAAAGACAACAGGAACGCCTGTAAAGGGAGCATTCACATGTTTGTGTTTATTAATTCAATAAACTTTTATTGAACATCTATATGCCAGGCATTGGACTAGGCAGGGGATTTAAAGAGAAATAAAATATATTCTCTCCCTCAAGGAGCTCACAGACTTGATGTAATCTTTGTACTATCACATTTTATGTTAAGATTTACTTGGAAAAGCATTTACTAGTTGATTAGAAGGAGAAATTATTAGCTGTGAATTATATGAATACAATCATGATGGCATTTTTAAGAGAATTCTGTGTTTTAGCAATCTGTTCTCCACTGCAATCTCCTTTTTGCTACAGTTGATAGTCTGGATTCTGGTGATGGTTATTCTTATCTGGCCCAGAGTTTTCTCCCAGTCTTCTTTTTCAAGAGTACCTGGAGCATATCTGTTCTTCTTCTTTTTCTTCCTTCCTTAATCCAATAACAATTCTTTGCTTGATGATCCTTGCATTTTCTACTTCTTTAACTTCCAGCAGTACATAAACAGATTCCAACAGAATCTTTTCTGGGAGTTAAGTTTTTGTCCTGCATTATATTACTTATATACACTAATTTTATTAGAAATAAAATGTGAGTACTTTGTGTTATTGTCCTGGCCTGGAATGCAAGTTGAGCTGAGGGAGAGCTAGTACTCGTTCCAGGTTCAGGAACTTACTGTGTACAAGAGGATATTCATGCAAAGATGCAAATATAGTTGTACATAATGTGGATATTGAAAAATGAACAAAGAGGGTAAAATGTTTATATACATTTTTAAGTGTGACACATTTGTTATCAATGACAAATTGCCACATAACAAATACAAGCTTGCACACAAGATTTATGGAAGACATTCAGGGGGATTTTGATTTTGATTGATGTGGGATAGAGCATGGACATCATGGTTTTATKTTATCCAAAATACACCACTGATTCTAATTTGCAGCTAGGTTTGAAAATCATTGTTTAGATCTTTATGTGAATGTACAGTTTTAAGCTGATCTCAATTCTTTCAAACTTCCTTCCCCAGGGTTTCAAAGAACTGTAGCCATTGCWGATTCAAATTACAACTGGTTTTATGGTCCAGAAAGCCAATTAGTGTTCCTGGATAAATTTGTCATGCGTAATGGCAGTGGAAACTGGCTGGCTGACCAAATCAGAAGGAATCGTGTGGTGGAAGGTCCAGGGACACCATCCAAAGGGCAGCGCTGGTGCACTTTGCACACAGAATTTCTCTGGTATGACACATTGGGTTGGCTTTAAAGAGAAAAAGTAATGGGGGTGCTATTCATGCTGTGCACTATTTTTTTTGCATTTAAAAGGAAATACTAATATAAAATCCATTTTAAAACTTCTTCTCCATGTTACCTAAATATGTGCAGCTTTAGTTTAACTTCTACCACAATATTTGAAACTGCTAGAAACATTTCTTTACATTCAAGATATAATTACGCAGTGTAGTTCTTGATTCTCTTGTATTAGAGATGTCTTAGGCCTTTTCTATTTCATAGAAAAGCTTGATTTGATTCAGCACCATTTTTAAAATCATTTAAGAAGAAAGCCACAAAATTAAGCCACAGATTATTCTTATGATCACATGAAAATAAGAAGGTAGTAAAATATTTTGTTTTGTTTTGGTAAATGGAGCATTATAATCTTCTAATAGCAAAGCTGTTCCTAAACTTTCAAAAATGTTTAAAAGTGCTTGACAGTATTTGACAGCTTCACTTTGATAATAAAAGAACCGTGTAATTTTTTTTGCYGTAATCTTTTAAGCCCAGAAGGAGAGGCTTGTGTCTCCTTTTAAAATATTGCCAAATATATTGTTGGCATCCAATAAGTTAAAATCAAAATTACAGGGAACTAGTTAATCATTAATCCCTGATGACTTTCAGGCTATTGAAATTTGCATTCAGCTCCAAAATAAGCTGATTATAGTCTGCTTCTCTTTATTCTTTTTTTCAAAGTTCACACAGTTAAGGAGGAAAAAAAACCATTAGAAAAGTGGTAACGCTCTAGTTTAACTAGCATTTTATAACTATTTTCATAGATGAGCTAAATATATTAATGTACAACCATTGGGGCTCCTTTGAGGGATGTGGAGTAACTACTTAATAGTAAAAAGAAAGTAATACTTTCGCTTACCATGAATATGTAACCAAGAGAGTTCTACAAAGCCAACTATTGGATTCAGATTAATGCTAAGTCTAAGCTTAGTTAAAAATCTGCCTTTATAGGAATATACAAACCAATCAAAAACTGAGAGAAGGATGGCCAGTTCAGCTTGTATTTGTTAAATCATATCAATTAAGCCAACAGTATACTCAACCTCAGTAGAGACGTGATTTCTGATGTCCTGAAACTGAGACTCTAGAACAACAGATGAAAGGGCAAATCAAAGGGCAATGAGATCAACTGTACCATGAGTGCTGACTGTACTAGGCCAAGTATACAAGAGCTAATAATGTGAGTCCACCTCTCTTTCCTTGAGCAGCAAATCACATGGCTTTGTCAAGGCAGCTATCCAAGATCTTCAAAAATAAATATTCCTCTCCATTATTATGTTTGGAAATCTTCCTAATTTAAACAACCTTTGTTCTTAATCACTGTGAAAGTTAATTATTGTATTACTTTAATAATAAACATTTATCATAAATAAAAATTAGAAGTCACTTCTTTTCTAAGAAGCATGGCATTACCTGTAAATTAAAACAAAGTTAAAATAAACCTTTAGAGCTGCTCTAGGCAGTAGTTATCACAATGTTAAACTTGCTAATATTAGATAGTTTCCTGGAATTTCACCCATTTATGTTTTCAAATGTAACACTGGCCATACATTTTTATCTATTGTGTGAAGTTCCTCCCTATTTTAATTATTTTAGAAAAAAAAAAACATGGAGGAGGAACTGATTTCAAACCAGTCAATAAAATCAGTTCCTGGCAAACAGTTCCTTTAACAATTCTAGGCTTGTTAAGACCCCAGATCCTAACGTGAGTTTCCTAGAAAAGGTGCCTCTTGGCTAGAAATTTGAGTTTGAAATGCTTATATCTGTGGGGCCCAGTAGTTTGGGTGGCAGCTCCGAAATTGTCAAGTGAAGAATGTCCGTGTAGAAATTAGCAACAGAAGTCAGTTAAGTCTCAAACGCAAGGATCACAAATTGTACTCTTCTTCAGTCACCAGAGGTTTACCCTTGTGCATGCCAATTATCTGTGTTTTCAGAAGTGTCCCTAATATAGTCCGMACTGTAGGTGCTCTGGGTGACATTTGTGTGTTGTTTCTTCCAGCCACATTACCATGTGGCACCAGTTCTGGTATTATTTTCACTTCCATTGGAAAACCATTTAATTTTTAAAAATTAATTCCCTCAGGTATGATGCCAGCTTGAAATCGGTTCCTCCTCCAGATTTTGGCACCCCTACCCTGCATTATTTTGAAGACTGGGGTGTTGTGACTTATGGAAGTGCACTGCCTGCAGAAGTCAATAGATCTTTCCTTTCCTTCAAGTCAGGAAAACTTGGGGGACGTGCAATATATGACATTGTCCACAGAAACAAATACAAAGAGTGGATCAAAGGATGGAGAAATTTTAATGCAGGGCACGAACATCCTGATCAAAACTCATTTACTTTTGCTCCTAATGGTGTGCCTTTCATTACTGAGGCTCTCTATGGGCCAAAATATACCTTCTTCAACAATGTTCTAATGTTTTCTCCAGCTGTGTCAAAGAGCTGCTTTTCTCCCTGGGAGGGTCAGGTCACAGAAGACTGCTCATCAAAATGGTCTAAATACAAGCATGACCTGGCTGCTAACTGTCAGGGAAGAGTGGTTGCAGCCATGGAGAAAGATGGAGTGGTTTTCATCCGAGGGGAAGGTGTGGGAGCTTATAATCCCCGGCTCAACCTAAAGAACATTCAGAGGAATCTGATCCTTCTACATCCACAGCTTCTTCTCCTTGTGGACCAAATACACCTGGGAGAGGAGAGTCCCCTGGAAATGGCAGCAAGTTTCTTCCACAATGTAGATTTTCCTTTTGAGGAGACAGTARTAGATGGTGTCCATGGGGCTTTCATCAGGCAGCGAGATGGACTCTATAAAATGTACTGGATGGATGATACTGGCTATAGTGAGAAAGCAACTCTTGCCTCAGTGACGTACCCGCGGGGCTATCCCTACAATGGAACAAACTATGTGAATGTCACCATGCATCTCCGAAGTCCCATCACTAGGGCAGCTTACCTCTTCATAGGGCCATCTGTAGATGTTCAGAGCTTCAGCATCCACGGAGACTCTCAGCGACTGGATGTATTCATAGCCACAAGTGAACATGCCTATGCAATTTACCTGTGGACCGGTGAGACCACAGGACAGTCTGCTTTTGCACAGGTCATTGCAGATCGCCAGGAAATTCTGTTTGACTGGAATTCAGCCATCAAGAGCACCACTGTCCCTGAGGTGAAGGACTACACTGCTATTGTGGAACATAACCTGCAGCATTTTAAGCCAGTGTTCCAGCTGCTGGAGAAGCAGATCCTATCCCGAGTCCGGAACACAGCTAGCTTTAGGAAAACTGCTGAGCGCCTGCTGAGATTTTCAGATAAGAGACAGACTGAGGAGGCCATTGACAGGATTTTTGCCATATCACAGCAACAGCAGCAGCAGCAAGGCAAGTCAAAGAAAAACCGAAGATCAGGCAAACGCTATAAATTTGTGGATGCTGTCCCTGATATTTTTGCACAGATCGAAGTCAATGAAAAAAAAATTCGACAAAAAGCTCAGATTTTGGCACAGAAAGAACTACCCATAGATGAAGATGAAGAAATGAAAGACCTTTTAGATTTTGCAGATGTAACATATGAAAAACATAAAAATGGGGCCTTGATGAAAGGCCGTTTTGGACAGGCGCGGATGGTGACAACTAGTCATAGCAGAGCTCCGTCGCTGTCTGCTTCCTACACCAGACTGTTCTTGATTCTGAACATTGCGATTTTCTTTGTCATGTTGGCAATGCAGCTGACTTATTTCCAGAGGTCCCAGAGTCTATATGGCCAAAGATGTCTTTATGCGGTCCTTCTAATAGATAGCTGTATTTTATTATGGTTGTATTCGTCTTGTTCCCAGTCACAGTGTTAGCACTGAAGCCATAAAATTGTTTGATCATTTTATGATCACAAAGAGTCTATGCAAAAAAAACAAAACAAAAAAGCCCCAGTTTGTTATTGAATTTTTTCCCCCTCAGATTCATTTTAGTAAGTTAAGGGAAGACATTTTCATACAAGAAAGCAGAGACATGGAAAAATCAGAATTGGAGCAGCAAAGAATTTATCGAAGGAATAAGAATAGCTTGTTTGTCCCCTAGTGTTTTTGGAAGTGTTGGATTTGCTGATTTAGGAGTGATTAAAGTACTACTCTTGAAATAAATAAAAAGCTTGATTTTTAAATATTTTTTCTTAAGGTAAATAAAAAAAAGGTTTAGAAAGAATTGGGTTTTATAATTATTAATTTAAATTTAATGCCGTTAGCWATTTCCAGATACCGTATTGTGAAAAATACCAAATCATGTAATTCCAAGAATTATAAGAAATGAGTGACAGGATTTGTCATTATTGGAACTGGATATCTATTCATATAATAGAAAAAATGATAGCAGAAGATCATTAGAAACTTAAAACTTGTTTCCAGTAGGAAACCTATACACAAAATCTCCTTGATGATGTTGTCTCTGCAAGCATATATTGGTTGCTTTTATACATTTGTTGATTTTTCAATAAATAAGACAATTACAGACAACTTAATATTGTATTTCCTTCTATGGAAAATTCTTTTAGACCCCATGACTAAACTTTTCAAAATAAAGTATTTTATATCCCGAATTTTAATACCAAAGAATATAGGGAGTCTAATCTGGATATGATTCTTAATGTTTTTAATAGAAAACTTTCTTCAAGTTTATTTTGCTAAATAAACAGATCATAATTGTGATTTTTTCTCTAGTGTTTTCTTCTGTGTAACGGGTTACATTCAAAATGAATTCACATTTTCTGAAATCTTTGAGGTGGGATTTTTGTTTGGACATGCATTCATTAAACTTATAAAGTAGTATTTGATTCAAAATAAGTAATTTCTCTGTTTATTGACTTTTCTGTTGTTTAAACATATTAACATTTAAAACAACAGCCAACATCTGATATTTAAATAACACCAAAATTTGTTTTTAAGCATTAAGTTTTCATAGTGATTTGCACTCATGTCCTCAGAAGGTAACAAGAACATAGAATACTGGAAATGTAATCCACAATTGACGTTTGATTATATGAAGATGATATACTTAGGAGGAACTTAAAGAATAAATTACTTATGTTCAGCATATTTGAACCTGATGTATTTCTCCCTTGAAAATAGAAAATTTATTTGGCTTAAATTTTAGAGTAAGAACACATTCACTGATTTATAGATCTAAAGTAATAACAGTACCTTTCCTCTTACTATTCATTTTGGTTCATGGGAATACCCATATGTAATAAATTTTTTTAAAAAAGAAAGAACTCAGAAAAAAACTCCTGAGTACCTTTGCAGTTCTAATTTTGACCTATTTACAAAGAGAAAACATAAGTTTGACTTTTAACTATGCTTCCCTCATTATATGTGGAATCTAGAAGATGACTTCTGCGGAAGCATTTTTTCTTTTTCATGGAAAGTCTCTGGGGAGGATGTCATTACACACTGTTTAAAAGAATAATGTTTTCAAAAGAATAATGGTTCCGTTTGTCCTGCATGGATGCTCTTACTGGGATTTAAACTTGCTTTATGTGACAGATTCTCCGTTTACTTAACCTCATTCAACATTCTTTTCTTCTACTCTTTCCCATTCAGAAAGACGAACTGTTTGAAATGATCAAAAGGAAATTTTGAAAAAAGGGGGGGGCATGATTACTCTTTGAGGTTACAGGCAAACCTGGTCTCAGATCCAAAACTCAGGCAAACTGTAATGGAGATGAACTGTGCAAGAGAGTGCCAAGTCCAGTTTTCCTTTTGTTTTCCTTAGGTAAAGGCTAGACAGGCATGACCCATTCTAACACATTACCTCATTTTAAAAGTGATTTTTTAAAATATGGTAATCATGTATCTTTAAAGCAAAGTGAATTAAAATTACATGGGGTTTTCTTTCCCTCCTTATAATGAATGTAATATTTTTCTCACTTAAAAATATTTCTTCAGGCAGTAATTTTAAATGGGTAAGTGAAAATAATGCTAGAATAAATCACAGTTCTTCATAATGAGATGTGTTTCCTATCAGGGATGGTACATGTTTGAGTAAAACTAAGGAACTCTTTGTGTCTTCAAGAAATCCAAGCAATATTAAATCTCCCTTGAAACTGAGTAATCAATTATGAAATCTGTTTCTTTGTTGCTCACTATGAAAGGAGCATTTCAAGTTCATTGGCTAGTATGTGAGCTGTTGTTTAGGGGATTGGCAGGAATTTTGGTCCTTGCCTTAAACAAAATGTGAGCATGATTAGCTACAGAGCTGTTTTATGTAGTGGGAGTAACATATTCCCTTGTTTGTAACCAATTAACTTATAAACAGCCCTGATGATAGATGAGACCTATCATTTACTGAGAGAACATTCATTAAAGAGCATTGTTACAATTGTGAATAAAGTCAGACAGAAGACCTTAGACTGTTTCAATAATTAAAAGATATCACCTGGACTATTGAATTAATTCTGGAAAAAAAAATTTTCGTCATAGTTTTTACATATCACATAGTCTAAGGTTATTAAAAAGAAAGTTTTAACAATACTTTGCACACTGAAAAATAAGTGTTTAAAGAGAAGAATTTACCTTATAGGTTATTGGGATTAAAAAACATTTTTTAAATAGTTCACAAGCTACTCACAAAGTAATCTGAAACTTCTCCAAATTTTAAAAGAAAGTAAGCTATGGAATGTTAAATTTATAAGTTTAAAAATAAATCCATGTGTTTCCTTAGAAATATAAAATAAGGTTAAAGTGGATATAGTTATGGGTAGAAGGGCCACGTGTTTATCCTCCAAACCGGAACACATTTCTTTTTAAGGAAAATGTTATTTTTTTATTGGCTTCATTTTTAATTTTAAAATCACGWAACACTTCATTCCATAGAACAGAATCAGTTTTCCTATGAGCCAAGCACTCATCAAAAATAATTTGATGAGTTAACATCAGAGTATTTATTTTGCTTACACAAATTAAGGACAAGGAAACTTCACTATTTCACCAGTTGAGAATGGCTGTTCTCCCTCCAATCCAGATTTCTCTTGGAGGACCAGATGTGTCAGCTTGGTTTGATTGACTTCATGTTGTTGTTGTTGTTGTTTTTCCCCTGGAATATTGTCTCTGTTGAAAAACTGGCTTCACAAAGAAGGTGGCAGCAGGAAAATTTCAGAATCCAAAGCTTAAAGTCTTGGGCAGTGTGGGGTTATTTTCTATCTCTGGGAGGGATAATCCTGTGTCTGAGGCCTGGGGACAGAGGCAAAGTCCCCAGCCGCTCATCTAGGAGATGTCAATCTCAGTAGCGTCTGTTGTCCTGACCTGTGCTCGCCCAGGATGATGGTGGGTAAGGAGCAGCAGGTCACAGGGGCCCCCTGACCCTCTGGGAGACAGTGCTCTCCCTGGGCAGACCCCGGGGCTGAGGGTCAGTGGCCAGGGGAGAATCATGTCAACAACTGTTCCAGCTTGTGGTCCCTGAGGTCCTGGGGCAGGGATGCCGGAGGCAGCCAGTGTCACAAGACGTCCCTGTCCCCAGCCAGGCTAAGTGAGGAGAAAGACAGTGTCCCTCCTCCAGGCCTGGCCCCTGCATCTGGTCTCACTTCCTTCCCCGGCACTGACTGGAAGGGGAGGAAGTGACATCCAGGGGAAGGCTGGGAAGTGAGGCCTCCGTCACATTCAAGTTCAGGGTGTGACAGCTCAGTCTGCCTCCCAACAGGCCCCATACTCAGCTCCCCTTCATGGGCCATGTCCCTTCTGAGAGTCACACCCTGCCCTTTTAGGCACAAGGACCCAGAAGTTCCAGGGACACGTCCATGTTTAGGCCCTCGCATCCAGAAGTGCCTCAAGCGTCCATGTTTAGGCCCCCGGATCTGGAAGTTCCTCAGACATCCAAGTTTAGGCCCCCGGATTCAGATCTGGAAGTTCCAAAGGTGCACATCCATGTTTAGGCGCCCAGATCTGGAAGTTCCTCTGGCGCACATCCATGTTTAGGCCGTAGCATCCGGAAGTGCTTCAGGTGCACGTCCATGTTTAGGCTTTAGGATCCGGAAGTTCCTCAGGTGTCCATATTTAGGCCCCTGGATCCGGAAGTTCCTTAATTGCACGTCCATATTGAGACTCTAGGATCCAGAAGTTCCTCAGGCTTTCATGTTTAGGGCCCCAGATCTGGAAGTTCCTCAGGTGCATGTCCATCTTTGGGCCCTCGGATCCGGACATGCTTCAGGCATCCATGTTTTAGGCCCCCAGATCCGGAAGTTCCTCAGGCATCCATGTTTAGGCTCTAGGATCTGGAAGTGCCTCAGGCATCCATGTTTAGGCCCTCGGATCCAGAAGTTCCTTAGGCGCATGTCCATGTTTAAGCCCCCAGATCTGAAAGTTCCTCAGTCCTCCATATTTAGGCCAGAGCATCCGGAAGTTCCTCAGGTGCACGTTCCCAAACACTTTTTTGAGTGTTAGAGGAGAAACAGTTCAGAGTTACTCCAGGACAACTTACATAAACCAGAACTGTATTAGGTAATCTGGGCTATATGGTCATCTTTGTCAGATGTCTAGATGACTCAGGAAAAAAGGAGTTAGGGAGAGGTGTGAAAGTCTATCTCAAAGTTTAGTACCAAAAAAGGAACTTGAGCTGATCAGACTGAGTCCCCTAAATCTATAGATGAGAAAATGGAGGCTCAAACAAAAGGGCCCAGATCCCCTTCCTTCTCCTTGCCTGTGCTTATATAATTTCTATTGGCAAAGCCCCTCAGTTTGAATCTCTCCTCCTCAGGTTCATTTTGAGAAGAGGTTGGTATTTGTAGCTTAATTAACTAGCAAAGATGACATATGCTTCCAGAAATGTTTCGGTTGAATATTTATTTCATACTTGTAAGGCCAATTAAGTCCTGACACGTTTTTAAGAAATGAAGGAGAAAAATCATGTGTTCCACTACATGGCCTAA